ATTCTTATTAACTCCTAAATAATATTATTTAAATTAGATTAAAAACTAGAAAAATATATTTAAGTAATATAGATATAATTAAAAACTTATAAATAGGAGTAAAAATTTAACCTCTTATAAAAAGGTTTATATAGGAAAAGTTATAAATAAATAGATTTCTATAAATATACTTAAAAGTACTCTTAATAAAGTTATTTATTTTAGAGAGTTTTTTAGTATAAATATATCTCTATTTTTTATACTTTATTTCTTTAATATAACTTCTTTTTATTTTATTATAAATACTCTTAGTTATTAATTTATCTTAAGTAGATCTATTTAGAAATTTATTATAAATATTTAGTATCTTAATAAAAGTTAAGTTTGTAGTTATAATGCAGCCCCCCTATAAAAAGACTATAGCAAAATTCACCCTATATATAGGCATAATTCTAGAAACACTATATAGGCACTTTAAGGCCTCTAGCTGTTCATAGTGATTTTTACCTGCTTAGAGCGATAGACCCTCCTAACTTTACGCCTCCTAATAATATATATAGCCTTCAGTTATATGATCTCTAATGACCTCCTAAGTCTCTAACTACGTCCCTCTCCTAACTATAGCTGCACTTATATATGTACGTTAGTTAATAACCTCATAATTTTTAACTTCACTTTGATAACGATATAGTTTATGATTACTTAATTACTTAATTACTAACTACTAAACTATTAACCTATCCTCTCTCTTGCGTATCACCTACGCTACTAACACTATCTCTATTACTGCTTTGCTATCTGCTATTAGTCTTCTTATTTAATCAGGCTAGCTAACGCCTTTAGTATACCTTATATTATCTATATAAAGTAGTATACTAAGCTAATAAGCCTAGCAGTAGCTATACTATTATTAGTAACACTCTCTCTATATAATAGTTAGTATAAGGTGCACTTACTAATAAGCCCTATTATACTTATACTTATACTTAAGCCTAAGCTGCCTCTACTTTAGTATTATAGAGGGCTTATATAAAGAAAGGCTACTCTTTAGGATAGCTAGAGATATATATAGCCTCTATATAGAGGTATTTAGGGCTATTATTTATTACCTTAATTATAGTATAGAGAGGGTCCCCTTTAGAAGTATTTATAAGGGCTTTAGTTATTATTACCTTAATAATATACTACTAATTAGTGAAAGAGTACTTATTAAATTTAAGGGCTTTATTTAGTATATAGATATTATCTTATATAGTAATACTTTTAACTATTTACTTATAGAAGGGTGTACTTTATAGGGGATTAGTGTTCTTATATATCTCTTATAGTATAGATATTATAAAACTTTAGGATTTATTATAAGTTATTATTAATATAGATTTAAGGATAAGGAAGAAGAAGAGGAAGAGGGATAGGTATAAAGCCTTATATATAATAGAGTTTTTATACTTCTAGCTATAAGAACCTCTTCTAATAACCTCTTTAGTTAAAGAGTTATCTCTTATATAGTAGCGTTCACCTTATTAGAAGGTTTAGTGAAGCTATCACTAAGCTATAAAAGCCTTAGTAACCTATTTAGCCCTAATATAATTAGCCTTACTATATATAGTACTACTAGCCTTATACTATATAGCTAGCGCTATTACTATTCTACTAATCTATTTAGCTAAAGCGTGCGTTTAACTTTATAATATTTAGAGGGTTTACTTACTAGTAGGAATATATAAGGTTTCTATACTATTTTCCTTAATTAGTAGAGGGTATAGGTTAAAATACTTATATAGTGTTTCTAGAATTATACCTGCGTATAGGGTGAATTTTGCTATAGTCTTTTTATANTAGGGTGAATTTTGCTATAGTCTTTTTGTGGGGGGGCTGCGTTATAACTATAAACTTAATATAGGCACTTTAACCTATATCCTCTACTAATTAAGGAAAATAGTATAGAAACCCTATATATTCCTACTAGTAGGTAAACCTTTATATAAAGTTAAATATATACTCTAGTTAAATAGACTAATAAAATAGTAATAGCGCTAGCTATATAGCGTAGGGCTAGTAGCGCTATATATAGTAGGGCTAATTATATTAGGGCTAAATAAGTTACTAAAGCTCTTATAGCTTAGTAATAGCTTTACTAAACTCTTTAGTAAGGTTCTATAAATACTACTATATAAGAGATAACTCCTTAACTAAAGAGGTTATTAGAAGAGGTTCTTATAGCTAGAAGTATAAAAACTCTACTACTATATATAAGGCTTTATACCTATCCCTCTTCCTCTTCCTCTTCTTTATCCTTAAACCTATATTAATAACTTATAACCTATAATAAGTTCTAAAGCTTTATAATATCTATACTATAAGAAATATATAAGAATATTAATCCTCTATAAGGTATACCTTTCTATAAATAAATAGCTAAAAGTATTACTATATAGGATAATATCTATATATTAAATAAAGCCTTTAAATTTAGTAAGTACTTTTTTATTAATTAGTAATATATTATTAGGGTAATAATAGCTAGAGCCTTTATAAATACCTTTAAAGGGGACCCTCTCTATACTATAATTAAAGCGATAAATAATAGCTCTAAACGCTTTTATATAGAGGCTATATATATCTCTAGCTATCCTAAAGAGTAGCCCTTCTTT